GTGCGTCCGACTTGAAAGTCATACGTTTTGGGGTTCGATATGTGAACCGCTTTCGAGAGGGAATCCTTTCGTCTCATTTTCTCTCCGATGTCATCGCGAGAGCACTAAAAACACAAACAAAACGGACGTTAATTCACGTTTTGCTGCCAAAATCAATACAAATATATATTACGAGAGAAAATGTAAGGATCTCTGTATAACCACATCTCGCGATCTCGTATCTCAACTGATCGGTCACTTTGTTTATGAAAAACTGATGACCAATGGTTTGGGTTTTGGGAACAGTAAACTCAATTTTATTATATCCGTAAGCAATTCCCACGTCTTCTAATATATCGCAGGCGTGAAGTATATCCTGACGGATGGGAGGGATTCGCACTTTAATCAACTGATCCGACAATACTTCAGCGCCTAAACTCATTCGTTGCAGTAATCTGTTAATCTGTTGAGCATTTTGTCTATAAAATATTCAGTTTATAATTTAGTACCAAATAAACATTACTCTTATGTTTTATATACTTAATGCCCAAATTTGTGTTTATATAATCAACTGAAACAGTTTCCTCTCGATATTTCAATGCCTAAAACACAAATTTTATTACCATTATTTGAATACCATAAGCTATTTAATTAATGACTTACTGGTAATAAAGCCCGAGATGTGTCCGATTGGGTCACTTCAACACTTTCAACACTAATTAATTAAGACATTAATAATACGCTAAAATATTCATCGGACAAATTGCAAGTGAAACTTACGTAAACTTTTGCTCACAATATTCACTGAACATTGAGACAAATGTATCCAAAACTAGTTGAGCTTTATGTAAGTCCGTTGCAGTCATTTCAATGAAGATATTCTTAGTTTTGAGCGTTATTTTACTAAAATCGCCTAAAAGTTTAACAATTAATATAGAATATAATAATTACAGTATATTTCTCTCTAATACCGTTTATAATGGGAGGCATTGATAGCACGACATTGTTTTGGTCATAGATTACGGGATAGACGGGACTGTCTTTTATTATATGCAGAAATGGTTTCAAGTGATCGTCAGTCTTAATAACAATTGA